GTAATATTACGACTTTAATCTCGTAATATTACGACTTTAATCTCGTAATATTACGACTTTAATCTCGTAATATTACGACTTTAATCTCGTAATATTACAACTTTGATCTATTGCAACTTTAATCTCGTAATATTACAACTTTAATCTCGTAATATTACAACTTTAATCTATTACGACTTTAATCTATTACGACTTTAATCTCGTAATATTACGACTTTAATCTCGTAATATTACGACTTTAATCTCGTAACATTACGACTTTAATCTCGTAACATTACGACTTTAATCTCGTAACATTATGACTTTAATCTCGTAACATTACGACTTTAAACTCGTAATATTACGACTTTAGACTCGTAATATTACGACTTTAAACTCGTAATATTACAACTTTAATCTCGTAATATTACAACTTTAATCTCGTAATATTACGACTTTATTCTCATAATATTATGACTTTATTTTTATACTAATTTAATGTCATAATATCATGACTTTATTCTCGTAATTTAAAAAAATAAAAAAAATCTTGTGTGGCCCTAATACTACATCGTAATATACAGATTATCTAAAAAAACAAAATATAGTAATTTACGTTTTAAAAAAATGGGGGTTTAGGTTTAAAAGATTAACGAACCAATCCAATCGTCGGGCTGAACTTTAGTCATCTGCGGGCCCGATGTGGCCTGCGGGCCTCCACTTGAATAGCCGTATACTCTGCTTTCTATGAACCATGGAGTTTTATCAGAGAACTATAGGGGGAGCTCTAGAGCAAAAACAAATGCCAGAACTGCTACTTTAAAACGAGTAAAATGGTTTCAACCTTCATTCCGGACGTCACCAAATAAAAACCGAACAAATCAAGTTCTGCAACATGTTTCATCCTAATTTAAACAACAGTTGTTTTATTTGTTATTTATTTATTTATAACTCTGTTATTACATAATTCAGCATTTATTCCTTGTGACGCCCGGCCTGTATTGTTCAATAAGACAGAGAAATGTTCTCGTAGCGGTCGGACCTGATCTTCATCACATCGGTATGTCTGTGAGGAATGCTGCAGAGCCGTCTCGGGGCGGACGCAAACACAAAGACTCACACTACACAAAGACTCACACAACACAAAGACAGTAAACAAGATTTGGATGCGTTCAGAATGTTTTGTATCTCCAGCAGCCAAAAGGCAAACGTAAATGTTTTTTTCTTGTGTACGGGTCTTCCTGTTAGCAAAATATCTCAAGAACTAAAGGATGAATTTGAATGAAACTCTTAAAAAAGTAACATCTATAACTGATTAACTTTTAAACAGAGGTTCACTACAGTCACCTGAACTTAAAAAAAACATTAAACACAAACACTGGGTCAAACTGTGTGGTAGTAGCTGAGAGTCTTTCCTAATAAAAGCTCTGAGTGATAACAGACTCTGTGAGTGCTTTTATTTTGAAAGGTTTCTCCCTGAGAAGAGATGTTTTTAACGAACAACAGGAGTAAACATCGTATTTAAGAAACTTATTTATATATAATTTGTGTCAACTCGTTTAATCTGAATGTTTTTTCAAAACTTTTAAATCTTTTTTTGTTACTTCAAGATTATTGTTTGAGTTTATTTTCTTTTAAAAAAGGCAGCAGATATAAGATTTTTTCTTCTTTCTGCTGCCTTTCATTTTATTTATGATTTGGTAG